GGGGGTTACATTCTTCCAAACTTATTTTGCATCTGGTGTGAGACTCTGCATGGAAGATGAAAGAATATAGATATGTTTAGTTGGTTTAAAGAAAAAGCCTGGATCATCTGGACAGAAATTATGCAGTGCCAAATTTCAGGGTAAAGGCTGTACTAGTGAATTGTTTTGGTTGACGGAACTGCAAAGGTATGCAGAAGAGTAGCTGAGGTGAAAACTACCGCAGAAGCAGAAGAGGGAGGAGCAAGAACGAATAGACAATTGGAAGAGTGAATTCAGAATCTAGGGCTGGCAAATGGATGTATCTGTTTGGATTGTAATGGAAGCACAGATAGATGGATGATGATTGCCACTGATATTATCAGCTATTTAGAAAATAATAAATATATACATACTTATATATAAAAAAGCTCGTTGAGAAATCAGGATGGCTTCAATGCAGACTAGCATATAGATGGCTAGATAGATAAAAGGATACGGTTAGCTAAGAGCTTAAGATATGACCTGGAGAATGAGGTTTCTTGGGTATCAGGCAAAAAAATAATATGAGAAAACCACTCTTATCCTAATTTTTTTTTTTAAAAAAAATAGAAGACTATGAAGTAAAAACCAATGAACCTAGTGAACTTGGACATTTTATGTGATGTATTTAGCTAGGCACTTATTAATTCCAAATGTACCTCTCCCAACCGCCACCATCCCAACCCAAAAAGAGGGTATAAATTACATTGACCCAACCCACCACCTACCTGTTTGCCCTTTGTATATAGTTGCATACATCACAATTACCAGCTAGGCTCTTATTAATTCCAAATGTACCCTCCCAACCGCCGCCACCCCAACCTAAAAAGGGGACCGAGTTACATTAACCCAACCCACCACCTGCCTGTTTCCCTTTATATATGGTTGCATACATCACAATTACCCAGGCACATTCTTCTGGTCTTCCTGGCATTGCTAACATTTAATGTCCTATTGGATGAAAGTATCTGTGGTTCCTAATGCTGCATTATCTGTTGAAGATTGCTATTGATTTGAAATTGGAACAACAGCTCCAAAGAGGGCAAATGACTAATGACTGTTAGAACTATAGATCAAGTCCTGCTTGGACATTTCTGCTCAAAATTGTCACAGAGTGTATGTTCCCTCTGCCTTGCCGCCCTTTTTTTCTTCCTCTCCCCTGCTCTATCTTTTTCCTTTGTAGGGCAGGCCGATATTTGGTGCACCAGTTCCTTTTTTTTGTGGGCTTT